ACAGGGTTTCGACTCACTGCCATATCAGCCAAACCAGTAGCGCAGTTAGAGCCACATTTTGTCTCCGTTGGCAAGTTGGCGGATCGCACAGCTGGAAAACTCTGTTGCGCTAATGTGCGGGGGTCGTGGTAAGGATGGGGCACAGCCTGACGGCATGCACCCGAAAGGTCAGTGAGGGGCACAGAAGGCATACGCGCAAATGATCCTCAGGCTGTAATATGCGGCAACCCTCACTCCCGGTTTTCTTCCCGGCTGGTGTTTTAGTCAGTAGACTGGCAATGTACGATAACTCGAAGTTGTAGCCACTTGCACAAGGCTTCGGGATCTACGACACGAAATGCGATGGCGCCTCGCAGGACTTGGGTTGGATCTCCAGGTTACCTCAAACCTTGCTGATTCTCCAGGTCCTTTCCCCATCCTGGTGACGGGTCATACTTCCACAGGAAAGCCCAGTGCGATTGATTGCCTCGCCTGGCCTCGACCTCCATGAGGTGGAGGAGTCTTCTATCGGCCGCCTGGACAAAGCTTTCGGCTCACCTGGGACAGGGTCTTAGGAAACTGGATTCAAGCCTTTTGCGGTTGCTGCAGCTGAGGCAGCTGTATCATCCACATGAAGCTGGGAACGGGGGCACTGCGCTCAGCGATCTGGGCCAAATTCGACGCCTCATGCCTTTTCCTGCGATAATCTGTTGCAAGTGGTATGTCACTCTGCCTCAGACGACGACCACGACCACTGTGGTGCAGCTTTGCGACTGGGAGATCAGCGTGAGCCGCTCCGCTCCGCAGCAGGCGACGTATTTGAGAATGTCTGCGAGGGCTAGCAAGCAGCTGGAGTTGTGTGCATCTGGATCCAGTTATATGAAATTCTGTGCAGGCTTGAGGTGAGCTTCAGGTTGCCAACGTCATTTTGTGTGCCGGGATCTCCATTACTGTTCACGGCAATCATGATTTTGGTTCGGTGAAGTGGGATGTTCGGAAGCACAGCATGGCTGCCGAGGCAGTAGCCGTCTTTCTCGCAGTAGCAACAGCAGCGACAGGAACAGAGAGTGAACAGAGATTGTGGCAGAAGCAGCGACTGCCCGCTAGTGAGTGCAGGGTTGGCAGCAGCAATACTGTAGTGTGCTGCCGCCGCTGGCCAGCCATTGCTGGTTCTGGTCCCGTTGCTTTGATCGGGCTGCGGGGTCTGGTCCTGGTGGTGCCAGTCCTTGTGCATGCGGTTATGGCGGCGCTGGCAGCGGCAGCCGCGGTGGTTGTGGTGGTGTGGCTGGCGATAGCAGCAGCAGTAGCAGTAGCGGTATGATGCAACCATGCAATAATTAGAGAGAATGACGCCTCTGTTGCAGGGCGACTTCAACACGGAATGGAAGAAGATCACCGTGAAGAATCAGGTGCCCTTGTGAGCTGGTTGCCGCTGTTGGGTTGTTGGTATTCCATAGCTTTGGTCCTAAAGCGGATTCTATGCCCAGGCCCTAAGCTTTGGGAATCTGAGCCTCAAGAACATTCATAGATTAGCACTTCAGTCGAAGCTGACTGCTTCTTGGCTGACCAGTTGCAAGTCGGGCCACAGCTCTGGGATTCGTAGAGGGTTTCGATCTTAAGGGAAGCTCTTGGGGAGACAGCTGGCAGAGAAGCCCCACTACCGCCAGGCATTCGATGAGGTCTTCCGCTTCTCAGGCTGGCAGATTCATTCTCTCAGCCTAGAATACGACTCACTTGTGTGAAAGGCTTCGGCACATCGGGTTACTCGTAACAAGGAAATCATGAATTCAAGATTGCTGCCTGCCCGGGTTTCTCTGCTCAGCGCCTATGAGACTGATACATTATGTATATACATACAGACAGTGTATATTCTACATACACACTCAATCACCCATTTTATCTGTGCAGATATGGTACCCCCTGGACTTACCTAGTTTTGGTTGATTGGGCGCATTTAATAGACGCCGCAGTCCAAAAAATCTGAAAAAGTCCCAGAACCACAACTAGCCATGGTTTTTCTAGATTTCCAAATTCCACAAATCCCTAAATCCCGAAATGCAACTATCCATGTCTGGGAATTACATTTCCAAACTCCAAATATTCCGAGTATTCCGACAAACCCCAAAACTCGAAAATGGAGCAACCATGTTATGGGATGTTTGGAATTCAGGATTTGGTTCTTCCAGTTTTGGAACTGTTGGAATTTTGGATTATTTGGAACTTGGAATACTTGGAAATGCAGGAATTTTGGAAGATGAGGAATTTTCGTAATATGTGGGGCTTGCGGAATCTCTGGAAGCTTTTGATTTTTTTGGAACTTGGAACTGAAATATATCTTCCAGCTTGGGAAGAGTTAAAACTTCTGGATTATATGGAATAGTGGGAATATTTGGAGCTTTAGGGGATTTTGGCTCTTTGGGAGTATTTCTAACTTTTGGATTTTTCGAAATATGTGAGGCTTGTGGCCTTTCTGGAAGTTTGGAGTTCAGATACGTGCATACAGAAATAGGCAAGCTGCCGCATAATTCTTTGGATTTTCACCCTCGTGCTAATGTCAAAAAATAGGTTGGATGGCCTGCGTGTCTGAATGCAGTTTATTCAAGCAATGAAACCATTCAACGAACTTGATGTAAGTATGCTTTCACGCACGCTTAAGAACTCTATCATGTTGTCTATTCTGTACACTGTTCACTCATGCCAAAAGCCTTTTCCTGTTAGTTGACAACATCTAGTCTCATTGTGAACTTCATAGCCCTCACCCCCACATCTGCTGAGAATCTACTGTCAGTCCGAAGATCCTTCCCTCTTGGTGGACAAAGTTTACTGACTTCCAAGTACCACCGCACCCCCCAACCCTTTGCAAATCCAAAGCCTCGAAAATCGCAGAACGTTCCCATCACACACCGGGCGCTCTAGCCAAGGATTTGCACACTTGATTAGTCTTTATTAGTCTAATCATGTTGATTAGGGGGGCCTGAGGCGGAAGCGAGCCAGCAAAACAGCTTGCTCTGGTTGATTCACTCAAATTGTTCAGATTATGAGAGCTGATCATCTCAATCAAATGCTTGATTTGCGTATCGTAGTATTTTCATTAATGAGATTGGGGGGCCTGAGTCTGAATCCAATGCATTTAATTGACCATTGTTCTATTACTTAGCCAAACGAAATCCAGTTGATCCTCGTTGGATTAAAGTAAATGAATTACTTTGATAGAGAGCCTGTACCTGAATCTACTTAAGCTAATGAAGGCAATCCGGATTAACACGTCCTGCCCAAGAAACAGCCAGGACCCTGTATTTCGATTAATTAAATGCTCCGATTTCTCGAATGGCTCAGTATATCTAATCACTAGATGTAATTATGTTACTTGGCTTAATTTGAAGATTAATAATGAGGGGGCCAGTGAAGTGCAACCGGTACCTTAATCTTGCACATGTTTGAAAATGGAGGAATTTTCTAGCCCCGCTTCAAGCATGGTCTTAGATACAAATCTGCACGCAGAAGGCCAAAATCACCGCTGTGCACAGAGTTTTCGACAGATCATCTACAGAGATTAGGTAGCAAACCAGGAATCAGGTTTTCGCGTAGTGAACTGCAAACATGATAGGAAGTATGAGCTGCAAGTTGATGTGCCAAATTTGTATTGCTGCAAGGTCATTGTCACAAGTGTACGCTTGGTCGGTATTTGTAGGCATAGCACGCCCCACCCCCCCCCCCACTATGTCCTACGTGCTACGTGTATTAGTCACCAAATTACAGTGGTTGATTAATGGTTTATTGTTTGATCGTTTATCATTGCTTGCCCAAAATGGTAGGTCCATGGGCGGGGCGTTGTAGGATACATATAGGGGTTGTAGGATACATATAGGTATATATCGATGTATATGTAAATGTATATGCTAGCCACCCCGCCCTGAACCAACCTTTAAGTAGTTGAAAACTAAAAGATTTCAAGCACAAGGAAAATAACATCCATTTCTTTGGACGTCCAATGACCAAAATTCGAAAGAACAAGTTTATTTTTTGGGGGGGATGGTGGATCTTTGAAGTGTGGAACTCCGACAAGATGACTGGGACTTTTGGAATTTTGAAATTGGAGTTCGTAGATGTACTAGTACTGGAATGGTCGGTTCCAGAGCCCTATCATGTACCTCACGTCTTCCCTTTATCCTCCAATACTAATTTATCTTAAGTATACGAGATCACTAATCTAACCACAAGTATCCCTTTGACGGCCTTTGCTGCAGGTGGCTTGGCTGCCTGCATAAATCCCTTACTAAGTTGGATGCGAATCTGCAGGATACCTCTGGGATCCTGGTCCCCTCACTTTCTTTGTGTCAAAACCGTACTAAATGCGTGACAAATTTAAGTCCTGGGCTGCTTGATATATGTCTCTTACCAAGTGCGCTTGGGATTTAATGAGGCATTCTCAAATCCTGAGCTCCGGCTTTTGTGTATATACATCCTTTACAAAATATGCATAAAACTGCACAGGGTATTCTCAGATTCTGGGCTCCTGACCTTCTCCATGCAAACCCTGTACTATATCGGTTTCCAACTGAAGAGACAAGTCATTGATGTTGGACGCTTGATCTGAATGGAAGAACCTTTGCTCAATTGGCTATGTATCTACAGGATCCTCATTTTCTTTACATGAAGCTCCTACTAAATGCGTGTGAAATTTGACGATGAATTCTCACGTCCATCGCTCCTGTTTTCTCTATACATCCCTTACGTCAATTTAGAAAGGAATTCTCGGATCTTGGGCTCCTTCCTCTGTTTACAAAAACCTGGACTAATATGTTTCAGATTCCACAAGGAATTCTCAGCTTTTGAGCTCATGAATTTCTTTATGTACACCCTCCGTTTAATTGATGGGGTTCGAAAGACAAGTTTCTCATAGTGAACGAATTCTTAGATCATGGGCATCTTCTTTTCTCTATGTAAATCCGTTACCAATTTGGCCGTCAAATGCCAGGATAATTCTTTTTCTTAAGCCTTTAGTACATGTGCTTGATTCAAAAAGGAATNNCAGATCCTGGGCTCCTGATTTTCTCTACAGTAGTGCCTGACTGCGTGTGCCTCCGCAGGCGGTTTAGATTTGAACGTGAGTTCTCAAATTCTGGACTTGATAGATACACTGCGAATTAACAGAAGTGTAATAACGAAATCATTATCACAGCATGTTCAATCCAGACCCGGGTTTCCTGATGTTTTTGAGAAGGGTCCGTTTGGGAAGAGTCCATTTTTGGGTCTGCGCTTTTGCAAGTCTTGTAAGTATCATATACAGAGTGATATTAAGGCAAAGCCCAAGTTCATCTCCAATTACAGTGTTTCTAGAGCTGCATTCAATGAAGTAAAGTGGCTTTGACAGGAGTCCAGGTTGGTTCCAGGAGGGGCGAAACAACATATACATATATATATGCATACATACACACAAATATGCGCGTGTGATGTGTGTATTAATGATTGTAAATCAAAACCATTGGGTTTGTAACAAACGTTGACGGCCCTTCTGCAGCATAGGCTAGTAACCAAAGTGCTCAGCACGCGACAAGCTCCTGTTTACCAAAGCTGTTTCGTGGGGCCCACGTGTACCAAGCATTCCCAACGAAGGTGGGCGTGTGTGTGAGGGAGTCGTGCCTGAACGGGTTTTGATACAAGGCCGCATATTATATGTGTGTCTATACGGCCAGTCTGTCTGTATGTATGTGTATGTCGTTATACACTCATATATTAATATATGTATATTGGTGAGCAGGCTGTGCAGACGGCATAGGGCGTGCCACTGCGCAAACATTGCTGGTGCGCTGGATCAATCACTGTTTCCAAATCCGACACATCAGGCTGCACGGACAAGGAGCTTGATGAGGCTGAAGAATGCGTCACCAAGTTTAGCCCTTTGGCGCCAAGTTCAAGGCATAAAGACTGCGAACCGGGTGACAGCAGCTTTCATCACACCAGTCGTCTGAGCCAAAGATTGATGGTTCGAAGGGCTGAGCGGCGCATTGTCATCTGCGAAAGCATCCCTTAATTTGTGAAGGAACTGGTATGATGCAGTTACGGTTTCAAGGGAACCCTCAGATAGGACAGACCCTCCGAATGACCTCTAGGATCCCTTCTACATACCGTCTAAGTGTCCTTCTAAGGGGGTCTGTCCGACATGGGGTCCCCTGGCAAAGAAGCCTACTCATCAGGTTGACTTACAACGGTTCAAGCAAGGAGCATGTGGGTTCTCAACGAAGAGCAAGTGACCAAACCAAGGTGAGCTCCGTTGTGGTTGGTTATAAATGTCTACGCAGTACACAGTTTTATCAGGGTACTACGAACTCGGAGTTAGAAGCTACCAGGCTCTCGAGAGCTCGGAAGGCGTTGGATGCAAAGTTTCCCATTATTTTAGAGGAATTATCTCCTGAAGGTAATTCTGTTCAATGACACGGGTGGATGCTGATGATGGCACGACATTCACAGGAATGACTGCTTCATTTCCACTCGTACAAGCTTTCACCATCCTCAGCCCAATGAAATTTCCCTTGCAGCACATCATCCTAGGCGAGCCCAATGGCGTTCGAGTGCTGAAGAATAGGCCTGGTTCTGAAAAGGTGACATGAAGCTTACTATCTGCCTCCAAGATAGGGCTGCATGGCCGCGGCTCATGAGCCGATTGACTGATCAGAAGCTGTCAGAGGGAGGCTAGAATCTGAACCCATTGCAAGAAGCCTAGGCATGGATACTTCAGAGCCCCCGTAACGGGGCCGG